TTCTCTATCTCTTTCTCGTCTCATCACCACCGTTGCAACGGTAGACCTGAGCTCGGCAACAACCTCTCCTCCCCCTTTCGTTCTCTATCTCTTTCCCGTCTCAACACCGCCGTTGCAACGGCGGATCTAAACTCAGCAGCAACATCTCCTTCCCCGATTGGAGGGAAGGAATTTTGAGGGAGTGGTGAAACAGCATAGTTGCTGTTCGTATAGACTCAGGGAGTGATGAGACGACACCATTTCAATCGGGGATTCACGAATGCCTAAAAATTCCTTCCCTCCAATCTCTCCCTGCACAATATTATGTAGGAGGATGAGATATTCTTCATGCTATGTGGGTAAATGTGGGTAAAGTTTTTGTGGGCATGAGATCTGAACTCTAAAGAAACAGGAAAAATTCCGAAAAAATATCATGAAATTTGGAAACGTGTATGTACAAATACTTTAAAATTTTAAATTGTATCTAATGGGTCCTCTCGTTAATTGAAAGTTAGTCAATATAGTTATGTGACATCAAATACACATTAAATAATTTTAAAATGATAAAATTATCCTTTATGATATTTTTATAATCATTTTACCTGTAAGTGTTAAAAAGAAGAATAGGTAAAGATGGATTATGAAACTGGTGATCCGTCCGGTTGATCAGAAAATCAACACATACGAAATGGATAAAATGATTAGAAAATCATAAAAGGTAATTTTGTTATTTTAAAATTATTTAATGCGTATGGATGATATGAACTAACGGTAGTTTAGACTACTGACGCATTTAGAAGGTGGGGGACTGAATTCAGGGTAATGTTCCTGAATTTTCCCAAAAAAAAAAGATACATTATAAGTTGCGAGAAGCCGAGAAAGAGCGGCCGAGCGGCAGAGAGAGAGAGATGGATGAGGAGGAACACGAGGTTTATGGCGGAGACATCCCAGACGAGGGAGAGATGGAAGGAGACATGGATGGAAATGCTGCGGAGGTCGAGATGGCTAGGGCGGATGGCGATGCTGTCAAGGTTTCGTTTCTTCTTCTTTTCCTTTCCTTTATTAGGTCATGGGGTCTCCGTCGAAACCCAGGTAATGGAAGGACTTCTGGGCGGCAATAACATACAAGTCTCGATTTTTTCCGGGTTTGCAGGAATTGGACGAGATGAAGAAACGGTTGAAGGAGATGGAAGAAGAAGCAGCCGCTCTTCGTGAGATGCAGGCTAAAGTCGAGAAGGAAATGGGTGCCGTGCAAGGTTCTTTTTTTTTTCTTATTGTTCCTATTTTTTTGGTTTGAGTTCTTCGTTTCGTTGATAGTTTGGATCCTCTCTTATAGATTTATAATTTCCCCCTTTCTAGTCGAATACATGTATAATGTAAGGATTAAGATTGATGCGTCTGTCCCTTTTTTGCTTTTCAATTTTCGTATTCCTTTTCCTTGGGGAACTATGATTATTAGACAAGTACAATGGATTGTAGAAGTTTTTCGTTTTTGTGTCTTTGTTTTTCTCTCTTTCTTTCTTCTTCTTCTTTGTTTTTTTTTTTTTTT